CCCCCCCCCCCCCCCCCCCCCCCTTGCAGCCCCGTAAGCAAGTTTTTCGGGCAAAAATCTCATATTTCGCCCCCCCCTTGGAGATATACCTGGCTCCGCCACTGTGATTAGCCATAGTTACTATTAACCAAACTTACAGATCCCCTCTTTTTAACTTTAGTTTGATGTTTCTGTAACTGACTCTTTGTTATACGACTATGTATATTTTGACCCTTCTTCATTTTTTGTATAGTATCTTCAATATGAAGCTTATATGAGGTCATCCACCTAATAAAAAATAAAATAAAGTTCAGAAAATGAGATAAAACTGTTTCTTTTCAAGGTTTTTCATTGAAAACAGATAGTTCTCAAGTCAAAAATAATCAGTGACAACAATTTAAGATAAAGAGTTTTTTTTTGGTCTATTATCTTAATTTTTTAAAAAATGAGATACAGATATTAAATATATTTAAAAAATGGAACCTTGTCACTAACCTATCAAGCCATTGATAACACATATTTCTTAATTCTTTCTTTCTGTCTTCTTCATCTATATTCCAGATATCCCACAAGTCTAATTCTTTTTCTAATTGTCGATGTGGATCTTGTAAACCACAATTGGCTAATATATCACACACCAGCATTCTGAAAAAATCAATTGAACATCACTTATGCATCTGATCCAAATGTAATCTACTAATTGTTCATACATTGTACCTGCTGTTTGATTTTGGTGCAAGAAATATTTTTCTTTAAAAAAAAAACATGAAAAATGTTGAAATAACTTATACAATGTCAAATGTAAATTGTATGACAAAGGTCATGATGACTTTATTCCTTAATACCACATTAATCAAATAGAGAGAAAGTAAAGGTGGTTTAATAAAGTTTTTATGATCATTGTTCACTAACAGAAGAATTGAAAAGCGAAACTAAGGGAAAATGATGTAGAAAATAGTTGTTAGGTTTGTAAGGTCCAACTATGATAATATCTATCTTTAAATTGTTTACATATTTAAGTCAATATTGAACTATTACTTTGTAATTTTAGTCAATACAGAAAGAAGAGAAACATTTCAATACGTTATTTTTCTTCTCTCACTCAATTTTATTTGTCCAAGTTTACTATTCATATTTATATAAGTAAATCCCTATTCAACTGATGAGAAAACCCAAACATCCTAGAACAAAATTTGGGTTCATTTAATACAGGAAAATACTGAAGTATAGGCTATAACAATAATAAGACCCATCATCAAGGAATTTGAAATAATCTCATACGTTTTCACCTATATAATTTCTTAACTTTTCTGTAAGGAAAAGTAACACTTTGTAAAGAGTCATAATAAAAATAAGAAATGTACTTCATTAATATTCTTAAAATCTAAACTAATAACTTCATATGAGGTCAAAAGCAATTACATTATACAATCTATTTTGTTGAATTATATTGAAACTTTGTTCTATACCACTGTCTAATATATAATGAAAATTATACTTCTTAAACGAGTCTTTAAAACAGTAGATATGTATGTTTATTTAATCTATATCTTTTGAATAAATTTTGTTAAGTTTATTGACATCATTAGATATTCATGTCTTAACAATAAAGTAAAAAAAAAATCTTAACATTATGATTTAAGACATTGTCATGAATGTAGATATTAGATAAATACATTGCAAAATGCCATATTTACAACAAATTGAACAATATTTTAAGAAACGGGACAGCATTATCTAGTAGTTACAATAATATTTTTCATATCAAAAATCAAAATTGTGTAATATTCACCTCACATCATTATCTCCATCTAAATATTGTAAAATCATTTCACTTATGAATTCTTTGTCTTTAACACTTAAAGAATTCAGAGCTTTAACAGCAACCATTATAAATATTTTTTCTTGGTCCACAGCACAGACTGGTGCTTGTTTACTGTCATTTAATACTGATATTATAATTTTACTAGCAAGCTGACAGGTAGAATCTGAAAAACCTTCTTGTAGATGTAATGATATCAAAGCTTCAGATATAGCTGATTTATTTGGAAATTCTGTTGTTTTTAAGATTTTTAACAATGACATACAAAATGCATCAGAAGTCCATGGTTTGGGCCATGTCTGAAAAAAATAAAACATAAATTCTTTTAAATGGATAAAATCAAATCAATATTTTAAGTTGATAAAAATCCAAAGAGTGTCAGAAACACTAACAAAAGTTTTATGAAAATGAAAATAGAGAAACTAACATCAAAATAAATCTGACTCACTTGAGGTGAAATAGTAGGAAAATATTTCTGAAACCAGTCAGTATTTTCATATTGAGTTATAAATTCTGGTAATGGAGATACTGGTCTAGGTGGTGTGACTGGTCTTGGTGGTGGTGGTGTTGGTGTAGGAACAGGAGTTGGTAGTTTCTGAGGAGGAATTGACACAGTTGCTGGTTGAACAGATGGTTTAGGTACTAATTTAGCAATGGGTTTAATAGGTTTAACAGGAGGTCTTTCACGTTTTGGTGGCGTCGGTTCTCTTACTGGTATTGGTTTAGGCTCTTCTGGTTCTTCAACCTTAAATGAACATATAACAAATATTTCACTTTAATACGAATAAGACTCTTTTATAAAACAATCCTAAAAAGCAGATCTAAACAAGTGTTCTTTAAAGGTAAAACAGTACAGTTTTTACAGCTACATAAACTTACCTTTGGTGTCGGGGTCCTTTCTAATAATCCTGCAAATTTATTAGTAGGTGTGGTAGCAGTGACTGGCGGTGGTGTTTTTACTTTACCCCAGAAAGCATCTTCTTCTGATTTATTAGATGGAGCTGGTGAAGGTGTTTTGGGTATGGAACTACGAGGTGATTCCTCAGTATAATCTCCCATATCTAAAACACGAGATACCTGATCATCATTATCTGATTTAAATGTAACTGATCTTCTCTTATCTTCAGTTCCCTAAAATTCAACAAATAATGAAATATTTAATATTAAACATTCTGGTCCATGGTATATATCAAATGTTGATTTATGTCCTTTCAGACAAATCATTAACCAATTCCCCTTGACAATTTCAGGTCTTTACAAAGATAGCTTGCCAGGCAAGGTAACATACGCCCACTGGCAGCTGTCAGAAATGATTAAACAGTCTTTAGTGACTACAGGGTTGCACAATATAGCTAATAGAGTGAAACGTCAAGTCAGACACGATATTTCGGTGAAATATTATCCGATCATCGCGAAAATCAATAGGGATCATCTTCATAATGACATTGACATACAAAATAAAAATCAAAAGAATCTGTAAAGAATTGTAGCCTGTAGAGTGAGCACGAGTTGCACAATACAGCTAATAGAGTAAAACGTCAGGTCAGACACGATATTTCGGTGAAAAATTATCTGATCATCATGAAAATCGATAGATCATCATGAAAATCAATAGGGATCATCTTCATAACGACATTGACATACAAAATAAAAATCAAAAGAATCTGTGAAGAATTGTAGCCTGTAGAGTGAGCACGAGTTGCACAATATAGCTAATAGAGAAAAACGTCAAGTCAGACACGATATTTCGGTGAAAAATTATCCGATCATCACGAAAATCAATAGGGATCATCTTCATAATGACATTGACACACAAAATAAAAATCAAAAGAATCTGTAAAAAATTGTAGCCTGTAGAGTGAGCACGAGCCAAATGTGAACGGACGGACGGACCGACAGACCGACGGACCGACAGGCGTATAAAAACTAATCTGTTGATTTAACATGCTTTTTTTTACTTATGGCCTTTAAGTTGTATTAATTCTTAAAAAACTTACAAAACTGAAGTCATCAATTTGTTGTAATTGATCTAAGGTCAAAGATGGTGGTCTATATTCAGATGTTTTGGTAGTTTCTGGGCTAAGTGGTGGTGGGTACAATATTTTAGCTAACACTGAGTTAGGTATAAAACCACCAGGTAATATTTTCTGTGGTTCACTTGGCTTTGTAGTTGATTTTAAAATAGATTTTTTAGGTAATTTATTTGGGAAGAAACCAGTTGGTTCTGTTTCTGGTCTATAACCATCAACTGAAACATACATGTATATATGTATAATGATTAACTTTTCTGTTCTAATTTTCTCAATTAAACCAAAATGTTTTGTTAGTAGGTCTCCTTAAACTTTGTTGATTTCCTAAATTCTTTTTTATATCCAGTATTAATTTTGTATTAATTGTAACATATAATGATGTTCCAATCTAAAAGCGTGGCTTTACCTTTCTTTTTATCTCCTTTTAACTTATCATTAGCAGTATCTAAAGGATATTGGTCTTCTTTTGGTAACTATAATAAATAGAATTAACTGAAGTTTTCATCTATATATCAACAAATACTGAATCTTGAATAACATTATTGTTATTTCTCCTTTGAAATGTTAATACTTCTAATATTATTTCATATTATTTAGTTCATCCTAAACCCTTTTAGAGAAAGGAACCAGTCAGGGAGCACTGAAATCATTTAAGAAACAGGGCCCAACACTCTAGATATTCTTGTATCTTGATATGGCCTATGTTTGTGTCTGGAAAACAGTTCATATTGATAATGACAAACATACATTGAGATGTATTAGCATATAAAGTGCTTCATCATGATGACTTACTGTAATCTTTGGTTTATCATAAAACATTTTCATATAATTAGTAAAAGCTTCATCTTGTGTATGTTTATTTTTCACTGATATTCTGTTAGCTTTAATATCACCTTTCTTTAACTGTTTTAATTCATCATCTCTACACATTAGATTAGAGAATGCCTATAAATACAACAGAAAAAATAACAATATGAACAAAATTAAATATATAAATATTTTTATTATAAAATCTAATTGAAATACACTTCCAGGTATTTTGTTTCATCTATTTCTCTGGGCTACCTCACTCATATAAGAATCTATATCTGAAGTCCCTCACAGTAAGAAAAAAAGTTCAAAATACTCTGACTGAACAGAACATCTTATTGGTTGAAATAATAATCACACTTTTTTCTAATGTTGTTAGATCTAGATGAGTGAAGTAGCCTTGTTTTTTAAACTACCATTGATCAATGAGGTCAAAAAAAACAACAACATTACACATTGACCTTCTGTTTTTTTTTAATAACATTATATATTCATGATGTATTGACATTATTTCTTATGACTAATGTTACAATATATATCGTCAGTTAAACCATGGATAAATTTTTAAATTTTGACCTACAAACCTTGAAACAGAATTACACAATTAACAATATTCATCAAGAGGAATGCCAAGCCTAGTTTGAGAACATACATTGCCTTGTTAGCCATTACTGTTATCTAAATTCTTTAAGGAATTGGCTAGTTTTGCAAAATAACCTAGTTATACATATATAGTCATACGAGCTTACATTGTTTCGGAAGTGAGAGGGTAGGGAGGATATAGGGGAATCTAAAGTTAGAGCACAATTTCTCCCCCTGGGTGCTCCAACTTTAGATTCCCCTCACAGTACCCTCACCGCCCTGCACATGCCAGTACACCTTTACGTCATAATCATGCATCCAACGTCCAAGTTACCTTTACTCTTATTTCTCCCAGCTTCTCTTAACCCAGACAGTCTGGTGAAGTCTTAAACACTCCTACCTTGGAACAAACCAATCCTGGTAATGATCAACCCCGGTAAACCCGGTAAAAATCCACCCCAGTAACCCTGATACTTACGAACCCCGGTAAAAACCCAACCCAGTAACCCCGATACTTAAGAACCACTGTTAACCTACACCCCAGTAACCTTCCACCAGGGTCCATGAACAGTATAATTAGAACCCTGCAAGGTGCGTCTAATCAGTCTGAAGAGTTCGAACACGAACGAAACTAGTCACTGATAATCAGGGATAACTGGTCACATAACCAATCTTTATCTCTTATAATTATACATGTTATTGTCATGAGAAGCTTACTTCATTTTAATTTTACATGTGTATAGAATGTGCTAGTTGGTAGAGTGTGAAGACTGTTCATCAGTTCATTACTGTGGCAGGAATTATTGGCAAAGTTAAAGCCAGAATAAAATCTAGAAGGACTATCTCTATCATGAAAGAGATCAGACATTTGTTTAAATCTCAACTATGAAATCAGTGGAAAGACAATAAATCTTACAGTAAAGTTTAAATATAAACTTAATGATAACTATACAAGACAGTGTCTCAAGATCAAAATACATATTATACATTTATACATTGTAGTTTATAGAACTTGATGGTTCAATTAACCTTCAACTTTAAATATTAACATTTTTGCAAAGTAGCTATATTTTACAGTACATTAGTAGTCTACAAGAGGTTTATCAGTCAGTCAGTTTGTTCTTTAATGCTCCATATCATTGACCACTGTATGAATGCAAAATCCTCACCTTTTCTCTGATATCTTTTTCTCTTTGTACAGCAGCCTCTTCTTCTGGTGATAGAATATCTACATAATGATCAAACCTAAATAGAATCATAGCTTTTTATTCTATAAACGTTTAATTATCTATTAAATAATCATACTATATTACTACCAAAACCTTGTGCACATCTCAAATATTCAGAAATCATTAAGGCCTGCTAAAATTGAGGAAAAGGTATATAACTACTTGTGAGAAAAAAGATATTAAAAAATCTTGCTTACTTGAATGATGATTTAGAATTTTTCAGTCGTTTAACATCATTCTTATTCATCATATTAAGTAGGTTTTCATTATAGGGTAATGGTTCTTCTTCTGTTTCCTTCTTAAATTTCATTGTCACCATTTTAAACCTGTATGCTTTTGGCATGTCTAAAAAACAGATAATCTTTTAAATCCACCAAAAATATATATTAGAAGAAACACTAGTACTTTCTTGCATAATCCCACTTTAAATGCCTGCATCGATCAACGTTTAAATTTCTTATAGGAAGAGAACAGAAGTAAACTTACAAGAAGAATGTGGTATTCTAAATAAATGTCTTCCTAATCCTACCAATAAATCTCCTTTATTAGAACAGAATCCTATACTGTGTGGTATAACATTTAACTTTAATACTCTGAAAATAATACATATATTACATATCAATATAGAAATTACATATATATATTAAACAAATAGGCTAGATGTTCTCATATAATGTATTTCCTACATGGAAGGGCTGGCTGAACATTTTTAAGCCTAACCGTGAAAAAAAAGTACTAGGTTGATGGTTTTCATTAATTTCTCATGGTCAGTTTATAGTTAAAAAGAACTTATATTAAGCTAGCCTACCTAATGAGATTATTAGTTTGATTCCAGATCCGTACAGTACCATCCTGACTAGAGGTAGCAAATAGTCTCATACGTTGACAAACAGTTAGTCCAGTTACTATATCATCATGGTCATCATCTGGTTTATGGTCAAAACGATCTGGATGAAAAAAAAAAAATTTTACTTAAAAAGTCAGTGTCTCAAAAGTTGCTGCTTTTCAGATGATACTTTGCATTGGTCAAAATAACTTCATAATGTATCTAAGAATCCAATCAAAGTTAACTTCTTCGCTATCACAAGTTACATGTAACTAGCTAGCCGTGGAATTCTGATGATGATATATAGTATTTACATATTCTTAAAATATATTGCAAAAATATGATGTTTATGGTCAGACCTCATGACATACTATGTTGTTAGTTACAACTTTCTAATTTGGAATAACAATGTATTTAGCCAGATAGTCTACTAGAGGTGAGAAAAACTAGATTGAAGAGTAATAAAAATTGTCAACCAATGAAATTTAATGAGAATGTTAGGTAGACATCAGACATATATATGTTACCAGTAGAAAAAAGAGTAACTTGCTGTCAGTTGTTAAAAAAAAAAAGTGTCATACAAAACTACTTATTGTTCTTACATGAAAATAACACAACCATTTTTCATCTGTAACTTGACTTAATAAGCAGAAATTTGAAAAAGCTATAATATTTCAATTTTAATTTAGAAATCCTCACCCCCTGCCGCTCAATCTTCTACACCTATGGGTTTTGTTGAAATATTATAGCCTTTATTAAAATTCGATTTATTAAGTCGATTAGATGATTCAAAATGGCTGTTAACTACGTTTGTGTATGTGATGTGTATGTGATTTCCATGTGAACCGTGTGTAGTTTTATATATGATAATATTTATAATAGTGCTAAGATGTGAACATTGACATTGGTAACTTACTCTGGTAGGCATCTAGATTACACATTGTATTAGTGAACACTAGAAAATTGATTAAGTAAATGTTATCTCATTATCACATATATTAATTACACTTCTAATCTATCTTGTTAGATATTAAAAATGAGAGATGAAATTGAATAAAAACAAAATTCCACTTTGTTGTGAAGCTTTCAAAATTAAGTTGAAAATATCTAACATTCTAAAAGCCATACAAACTATTTTTCAGTTAAAACTATTTGCTTCTTTCATTTTAGCTTTTATAGTTATTATCACTGACAGAGGCAACTAGAGTTATGATCATAGATTATGAATATGTAAAATTTAAACATGAAGGTTGCTTACTTTTGTCGTTAAGATTATATAAAACTGTACTAAAGGTAGCTGTTGTAGGATCTTGAAATGCCACACATAAACTATTCCTTAATGTAGTCATATGAGCTGGAGTATGGGCACAATAGAATGACATCAATGGTGCTAGTGCTTCTTCAGCAAAAGGATACAATCTCCAAATTTTAATAACATTATCTGTAAGATACATTAAAATTCATCACTTTAAGATTCAGTTAGTGTAACAAAATAGCAGAAATTTAAAGATAAGTTAAAGTGATTGTACAAAGATGTTCAACAAAAGTTGATAAAGAGCTTGGAATTGATAATAAAATTTATTAACATGGCTAACAACCTCTTTGTCCTCTTGCCCGAAGAGTCATTTGCACATGAGTTGCAGATTAACAAGAACATCGTACTATTTTAACAGTAGTATCGAATGCAGCATTAAACCTAGTTGGAGTGCATTGAAGATCTTACCTGATGTAATATGAATCTTTGAGAAAAATTTGACTCTTACCCATTCCAGCTGATATTAACTGATCTTGTCTAGAATTAGCTATCATATTTAATACACCCTTATTACCATGAGCCTATAAGAAGAATAAACATTTAACAGTAGTATATACAGTGCTGTTGATTTACTCGGATATGTCCAACAATTTTCACATCAAAATTGGTATAAAATTTGACTAAAATTTCAGGTTGAAAAATAATAAATATAAAGATCTATCATAAATATAAATAAAGAAGGATAACAACCAGAAAACAAACTTAAACCCATATTGAACAAACTTGATAATGATTGTGAGTCTAATCTAAAACATACCTCTATTTCAAAATCTATTCTACCAGTATCCCAATTAAACAAACATATATACCCATCTTTTCTTCCTCCCAACAGGAGAGTTCTATTTCGGTTCTTTGAATTAGATCTGGCATTAGCAAGGTTTTTTACACTGCGAGTAGTTGCACCTCTTTTTGCTGCTTCCCAAATATCTCCCTCCGCCATTATATCCACAATATACTCATATACCAGTAAATAGTTACACATTTCTAATACACAGAGAATATGACCATTATACTTTTTGATTATTTCATTTTTGTTGAATTAAATGTAACAGATTTGTTATTTGTGCATTGTTTATCATTTCTACTGGTTTATGAATATCCAAACACGGTGCCAGTCTTCCGAGACTAGGGATACAAATGGGGGGCAGACTGATTCAATGGGGGGACAATTTCGAAGGCTGAATTCAAAATGCGGCAACTCTGTCATGGCGTCATAGTCGCCAGCTTCTCATGAGAGAAATTTTCAAACTACTGAATAGATTTGGTGCATATTATTGTAATTCAGAGAAAAATGAAGGGCACTGATATCTTAAATCTAAATATTCATTTATTTGTTGTTATCTATGGTTTATCAGTTACAATTTTACAAAATACTGAAGTTTAATTCACTAAGAGATGGGTTGCTATTTTCAGATATGCATCATCTATACCTCATTTATAGAACTGATATTCTAATTTGGAATTTAGTCATTTACTTCTTCAAATAACAAGAATTTTAGAAACAGATTTAGTACAGCATCAAATTCAAATGTTAATAAACATGTTACATCCATACAATACTGTAGAATGTTAACAACAATTATAATTATACGATATAAATTAAATAACAACAAACGGGTAAGTATATTGTGATATCTGTTGTTAAGTATTGTGAATATATTGGTAAGTATATTGTCAAATTATATGTAAGTATATCGTGAATATAAAGTGGTTCATATTAAGTAATAAACAAACATACAAGTGCAACTCTCAACAACAAAATAATTTCTATCATTATATGTTAATTATTATGTTATATAAAATAATGATAAGGATTATTTTGTAGTTAGCAAATTACCCACCTGAAAAAAAACATTAAAAAATTAATCACAGAAAGGTTTCACTATCAAAACAATATAGAATCTCTTGAAGAAGATATAAACTTGTGAAATGTAAGATTTCTGTGTCAAAGCATTTCTAGAATGTTGACGATAAACATCAGAATAATTCAAGAGATGCCTTTAGTTTCAAAAATTGGACCAATTCCACAATCCACTTTTGACTATTTCAAAATAACCACTCTGAACTAGTACTGGTAGTCATTGATAAGCAGTGACATAAAAGAGATAACATCAAAATCAATGTACTACCTTCTGGTTTAGAAAACTTCCATCTTCGAAGTATTTGACATGGATTGATACTAGTGTCACTCTTAACAATATCACCATTTCCCATTACAGTAAATAATATTTCTATGATAGAAAATATGACATTATTACAATTTTTATCTTGAATTTAAAATCAATCTCAATATTTGTATCTATAATCTATTAAACAAGGAGAGTCATATATATTTCACTTATAACTTGTTGACATATTTCTTTTGTAGAATAAGAATTATTGTGTTCACAATATATTTCCTAGCATTATGTCTGACTTACATTCCAACAAAGTTTCAGACATTCATTTCACTCTCTGTATACAGATCATGGGGACTGAAATAATAGGATTCAAAAACTTGTTGAAAAAGGATTGAAGGATCTGTACTGGTATGAGCTAATTTTGACACACATCACTTGATTGGTAAGTTCTACTTGTTTTGAATTCAAAATTTACATTTCTACTATCACTCTCTTCAATAAACCAGTTACGCAAACTAACGTTTATTGTTCGATAAACTGTTGTTTGTGACATGATACTATGACATCGTCAAAGCACAACAATGACGCAATCTAAGATTTGTGGCAAATTCAAGGAATTGATCATTGAAAAAAGTGAAAATTGTGATAATAAAAGCATCTGAATATAAATATAAGAAATAAACGTTGGTCTCACTAGCATTATTGGTGTGTAAAAGCAGTTGATACTGCCACAAACATACATAAGTGACTTCATCATTGTCACTTCGTCATTTATTCAGTTTGCCACGTGATCAACAGCGTTTACACACCAATAATGCTAGTGACACTAACGTTTAATTCTTAATTGAATCAACCAGAAGTTCAATAAATCAAGTTGGAACAGAGTTCCAAATGGTGGAGAAAGGAATAAAAAGGTAAATTTTGACTGTGATATATCCAGTTCTGTACCCTTTGATTGACACATTGATTGTTTGTTTAGAACTCACAAATTGAGAATCGCCAAAGACTGATAAAAGAACTGACCTTCATTTATGGCATAAGCAGCATCAACAACACCTGCAAATTGTTCCATAATTAATGATGTTAAGACATTACCGTTACAAGGTGATACGATACGTATACTAGAATCAGAACATATTACAACAGCTCGTACAGGACAGAATGGGTGTGTTGTCAGCTTGATACTGGTTACTCTATGTCTACAATAAAAATATACCACAAATATGTTATCAGTCATGAGGACTCTCCAAAATGTTAAGTTTTTTCAACTAATTTGATCAAATGTCTTTAAAAGATGTATCATTATCTACCCATTGTCTAGACTGAACAAAACTTTTATTTCTAAAAAATATTTCAATAAAAATAACTTGAAAAACATCTCTTATTTTACTTCAACCTGCAGAAGCAATTTCTGCTATGTTTAACAAATTTAATCCACAAATAGGAAGTGTCAATCTTTCTACTTACCCAATAGATGTATGTATATTGAAAACATGTTGTAATTGCCATAAGTCAATTTTTTTACCAGAAAATGTATAGAACATATTGTATTGTAAATCAGTACCCAATCCATCTACAGGTTCAGATATAGCTACTCTAGAATATGCAAAGTAAATGATGATGTCAAACTTAAGAACAGGAAGATGTTGACTTGTTTCTGTTCAATGACTTGAGTCGCTTTGCTTGTGTCATTGTGTGGTACATCTCAGATGAAGTATTAAAAAATTTAACCCTTATCCCCTACTCCCGAAAAATCTTAAAAGAATAGCCAGAGACTCTTTTGAAAAAATGGACATAAGATTAATAAGTCGAAGGAAACACAAATTTAAAGATTTAGGCACTTCTTGAGCTTCATTGATCCAAAAAAGAACTCTCTTGAGTCTCTTTTTTCCTGTTTTCTTACCTATCTACTTCATCACAGGTTTCTAAATGCCACACTCTAATAGTATGGTCTGTACTAGCAGATATTATAGCTGGTCCATTAGGATATATAGCTAGAGCATTCACCTTCTCACTGTGACCAACAAATACCATAACAATATGCCATTTATCATCCCATACCTTAACTATAACAAATATACCAACATAATACAGTGCATTACTAAATATTCTACAAAATACTATGGGTCCTTTTTCTAGGTAGTCATCATAAAAAGCATAAGAGAAACTTTGCTACAATCTGCTCTTTTTTACTTTTGATGAGTCTGTGAATGTTACAGCAGCATCTGTTCTTATTTTCACTCAAATCAACACACACTTGTTACAAATTATCTAGATCTACACTATGGTCAAAAATTTTGAAAGGAAAAAGATAGTATAAAAGGTTGGAAAATGAAGTTGCAATTCAACTTTAGTGATATCAATATGTCTCTTATCTTTCATCTTACATTGTCACCACATTCATCCAAACAGCAACCCTTTTACATAAGACAGCATCTCTTAACACAGACTAAAATAAGATACATCTATAATATAAACAATACTTACTGGTACCATCTAAAGCTCCAGTAATCAGATATTTTAAAGGATTAAAAAATGTAATGGCTGTTATAGGTCGTACATGTAAATCTTTTCTCTGTGTCAACAGTTGACCATGATGTAAGTTATAGACCTGTTAATGTGAAAATATACATGCCAATAAAAAAAAAAACAAGAATAGCATTGTCAATATAGATGCCAATTTAATTTTTAAAAATGAGCAATTAAAAAAAGATCTCATTATAAACATAAGCATACCAAGTTTTATTGAAATATTGAGACAAAAAACTGTAGCCTATTAGGTTCACAATGCAATTGTTGAAGGACAAACAGGGGAGATAACAATATATACTTTCCAACAAATCTCATTCTTAATGTTACAAAGGGTTCAAAAGAGAAAATATATCTTTATCAGACTGGTCAGAAAGGGGGTACTGTTTTACCCTCTTACAAATTGATTGCTAAATCATAAACAAGTCTGATAATTGATGTAATTTATAATATAAATCTTACTCAAAGTGAAAGACTTTTAAAATAACGTACCACAACTGAGTTATGTAAAGTTAAATATAAACGCTGAGAATGGCTAGCTGTATCTTCTAATACCATATATTGAAACATATTATCTTCACCATAGTCAGTTTTTATAGTTTTATTAGGTATCAAATGTCGAGCTCCATACCGAAATGCTATGGTCTGAAAAAATGTGTATAAAATAAAGTCACCTGGAATACATTACAGCAAAATAATTCAATTTTTATCATGAGTTTAGTTTGTGCTTGATATCAAAAATTAAATCAAACATTAAACTTGAAACTTACAGTAATAAAATGTGGTCCTACAGCCAATACTTCACCAGTATTACAATTATATGTACACAGACATATCTTTCCTGGAGTTCGAACTTGTGAAATAATTTCTAAGTTCTCTAATTCCATTAACTAAAATCAGAATAAAATACCTTCTCAGATTACTCAAACTTTAACCCCAAGAATACAGCCATTATGAAACATTATGTAACATGTCCTAATGTCTGTCTTTCTCTCATTGAACACAAATTCATGGGATGACAGCTCTGTGACATCAAATTTTGGTTATTCTATAAACAATGATAGCAAAAGTCATCCTTATACTATACATATTTCTTCATTTTAAATGTCATATCATTAAAAAAATTGTACTGAAAGAACCAGAAAACTTGTTAAGCAACTTACAAATAGTTCATCTGACTGATGTAACCATCCTACAAATTGATCAGTTAGTGAAGAATATAAAACTCTATCCATAGTTTCTTCTGGTATAATATTAGTCTTTTTTCTTCCATCTTCCAGAAATATTCTTAATGTTCTTCCATCAGTGCTGATATATTCCTACAAAAAAAAACATTTAAACTAGGAAATGAAATTACTGGAAGTGAAATGAAGTTTTATGAACTACAGTAATTATCACCTTAAAGACAGTACACACTTTATAACTTAAACCTCTGACCACAAAAATAGTGACTAGCAATTTGAATTGTTGCTTAAAACCTAATTAGTTTCTAGAAGCATCTCGGTTTTTTGGGGGATTTTTCTTTTTTTTAGATCGTCTTGAATATGCATCTCAGTTGGATCCCTTAAAACCACTTTTAAAACTAAACTATAAGTGATTACAAAAAATCTTTTCAATAGTAAAAGATAAAGTTAGAAATATCAATAATGCTAACTCTTCTTTTGTTGATCATAGCCACTTTTTCTATGGTATAAGGATGGTTCATTTTCCTGACATGATGAATTCCATGAACTATCTCTACATCTCTGACATCTGTTTCTGATACAGCACTCACAGTATTCCTTACAGAATTACGTAATAAGGACCAATGATAACCAGCTTTTCGTATTACTTCATTCCTCTTTCTCGTGATTAGGAATTCAATTTCTGATTCCTTGCTAGACGAGTGTGTGGATTCTTGGTCACATTTAGCTATTTTCTCCATCTTCACAAGATTACTAAACAAATATTATTGTAGTTTATACCATGACCGTACTCTCTTAGTAGAACTAAAATGAACAATGTTTTTATTCAATCATTCAGTCATAATTGGCAAAATATGAAAATCACTGGGTAAACAACTTTTTAAGCTGATTTCTAACCATAATAAGAGTCCTAAGAAAATCTTAGCTAAGTCTATCAAGTTCTTGTCACAAGTGCTATCGGCCTAATGAAGTAAATTTAGAAGAAGGCTCAGGGCTCTCCTGAATAGGCAACCTGAAGACCCAGGTTCCTTCCCGACATGATACCTTCAGATTTTTCAGCCCGGTTTTCCCATCAGTAATGCAGCCTGTAAAGAGGGGCTGACATGGAAAAAGTGTTTAATCGTTCGGAATTATTCGAAGCCTTGGGTGCTACAGGCTGTGCACGTTTAAGATCCCTCGAAAAAAAAAAGCTGGCTAATGCAGCTGTCCTGACAAAATTGGAAAATGGTGTTGCCTGTCTTCATTAGCCCACATGATGCAGAAAAGTAGGACATAAAACTCCATTCATTTCATTTCTCCTGGATAGGCAAAAACTTTTTTCTAATAACTTATCATATCATCATAATATCATCAGATTTATTGAACTTGTTAAATATAATGACATCAAGAGAAATATTGATTAATTTAATGATTTGTTCAGTAGGATAAATGTGTTTATTCTAGCCTCTGATTGCTATTTTGAAAAATGAAAGTTACAGTGATGCCTTGTACACTAATTTTCAGTCATCGTAAAGCTAATTCAATATTATGTTAGAAAGATAGCTTGCCAGGCAAGGTAATATACGTCCTCTGGCAGCTTTGATTTTGAATAAAAATATTTATCAGTACAGTAACAATCACCAGTATGAAATATTCAATCTTCAGTCATACACTTCTTTTGAACTCGTTAGGGCGATACTGAATAATATTGAGTATGAGTTATTTCCCTTGTTCTTGAAAACGTGTTTTTAGCTTGTGAACACTTTAGAAGGCAAATATTCAATCTTCAGTGCGGGACTGAATAAGAAAATCAAAATCAAAATCCAGCAACAATCATGCCTTTTAGTGTTTTAGAGCTAAATTTGAAAGCATTTTCAAAAACAAGGGCAATAACTCATACTAAATATTTTTTGATTCTTCTGATTTTGAATTGGGTTCATCCTTGGGTGATAACAAACACTCACACCAAGTTTCCTCAAAATCTGTATAGAATTGTGCCTTCTGGAGTGTTTACGAGCAAAAAACTGAATGTGATTACGAACACTCACACCAAATTTAGTTAAAATCCATCAAGAATTGTCCCTTCTAGAGTGTTTACGAGCTAAAATTGAACGCGTTTTCAAGAACAAGGGCAATAACTTATACTAAATATTTTTCGATTCTTCTGATTTTCAATAGGGTTTATCCTTGGGTGATTACGAACATTCATACCAAGTTTTGTCAAAATCCATCAAGAATTGTGTCTTGTAGAGTGTTTACGAGCAATTGTGGACCGACGGACGGACATGGTTGACGGCCATATACGCCCCCATTTCATGTGGGCGTATGAAAAGAGCATCTTGGAATGTGTGTAAAATCTTCATAAATCAGGGCCTAATCATTTTGAACTTAATCCATAATAATAACTTGATAACTTGTCAAAATATCTATCAGAGACAGGAATAGAGGCAGATTTTGCATACTATTTATTAACGAACACAGTCAGTGGTGAGTAGGTAACAAGTACAGTGGTGTAACCTTTTTTGCGTGCATATAAGGATTCAACACCAAATTTCATCAAAGTTAAAAAAAACAGAAATTTGTTTTATTTCTTAGATGTTTCCTCAGATTTTCTAGAAAATAATTAAAATTGGTTTTTTTCGATTTTTTTCATGAATCCCTCACTTTGACCCATATTTCATGAGTAACCAACTCGACAACGGCGATAATATGCGTCACCTATTTCGTGTACAATGTTTGATCTATAAATAAGTCGAGAAAAACACGTATCAATACCCAGTGGTATAGTTAACCTCTCTTAGTATTTATCTTTAATATCAATTCATTATAACTAGTGACAATTCCTTGAAAGAACAACGATTTAAAAAAAAGAATAACTAAGTGATTGACAAAGTAAGATTAGTAAAACGTAAGAGTAATTTATTGCTAAAAGTCATTGAAACAGCATAAGAATATGGCCTACATTGTGTGGTCACTGAATTTGCTAGTTGATCACTTGACTTCATTCGTTGGACTACATGCTAGCAGACGACACTTGGAATTCTGATTACAGCTTGGGATTATAAGGAAATTCGGCCGATAAAAAATGGTGACGTTGCCATTTTGTATTTGTCAGTAGACATAATACATTTTACCTTACTTGAAACTACTGGATTCATTCTGCTAGCTGATTTTGTACAAAAAAAAAACATGTTTATCAAAACAAGCAAATGCAGAGGTCACGCGAGGTTGCACATGTAAATTATTAATCATTTCTGGAGATGCACGAAAAATAGATTAGCACGAAATTAGGTTACTCGACTGTATTTGATCTATTTTTCATGAAAATGTTGATAATAAGGTGTTTGGCAACATCTAAATCTAATCAAAATACGCACACTCTTCTCAAATCCTCAAAATGCATGACACCTAAATAAAAAAAATAATCACTAAAGACAGGTCTTATTTCATTGTTTTCTTCGACAAAAAAATGGTAAACATCCTCGGGCAGCCATATTTGTTATTGCCATGACATTACGCGCTTAGCACTTCCTGTTTTTCTTACAAGAGTTGTCTCCCTCTCGGAGAAGACTACAACTTATCGGAATACGATGAATATTTTTGAGGCAGAATGAAAATTGAAATGCAGTCTTCCCATAATTATCTACTTCATGATGATTAACCTTAACTCGGAGTATAAGAAAGTGCATATGATGCTGTGTACACGAAACATCAGAAATTTTTATTATGATTTTAAAACATAACAAATATTTGTAATGCTTCTATTTCTATAATCAATATAGTTGTGTTCAAATTTAACAGACCAGCAGGCTTGTGCATTCATAAAATTTGCAAGAACTATCCATATCATTGATCAAATATGCCTGATTGGGTTTTGCAATTTTAAAGGGCCATTATGATATTTTCGTAGGTCAAAAATTTGTTTTGCTCAAATGTATGGAACCTATACACCAAAATCTTAAGAAATGTGTCCCTGCACTTATCTGAAAGTTTGGACTTATCTGAAAGTTTGGACTTATCTGAAAGTTTGAAGTAACAAATATCCTGCCTAAACCATTTCAAAGGTTGAAGGTTTATAAGTTCATTTTGCTATTTGGTAGGTGTTAGTAAATTACTGTACGGATTAAACCAAAACAAATAATTGTAGAGAAAAGTGTCTCCTTACTCCTAAATAGGTATTCTAGAATTTTTCAATTAAAAATGAGTCTTTAAGAGGCCCAGCACCAGTTTATGTTGCTTAATTAACATAAGTACACTCCATTTTTAATTTACCCTTTCAAACAAATTCACTTTGATAAAGTAGATAGATAGATGAATAGCATAATTTAGAAACATTTTCTGGTATAATTTATGACATTTTTGATTATTAACATTAACTGTCCCTTTAAATGCAGAATGAAGATTTTAAATGTCTACTGATATGTTAGGTTTTTGTTAACTACTGTTATACTTGTGATATTATTCATTTTCCAATATCTGTAAAAGAATGTGACGGCGTCAGAGGTTCAGGCGTGGTAGGTATGACTCATCACACCAAAGCAATGGGTACATAATTCAAATAATAATATTTCAGATTCAGTGACCATGAATAATATTCACAGAAACTAGAAAGTACACAGAAGATGTGATATCAAATTATCTATTTATTGCATTTACTACAAAAAAATCAAATTCAGTCCTAAATTATTATATCACATTTTGTTCAATAAGTTTTCTTAAAACTTTGAATCCATAATTTCATTGGTAACATATTGTTTCTTTGTTGTAAACTAGAATCAAACACATTAAAATCTGCTTTTTGCAAAGTCTTTAAATACCATTCACAAGATACCTGAAACATATCACAAAATATGTATTAACATCTTACTGCTTAACATAAAACAACAATAAGAAATAGGATTTCAACATTCTAATAACTAACAAACTAATCAACCACATTTTTGCACAGAAGTATCCTGGTTTAATAAGTGTTTTATTTTGTATTTTTGAAAATCTACCTTCCTCACTTTACTGGAAAATGTTCCTTCGTAAAGTATTTTCAAGTTATCAAGACAGACTTTCTATTATCTCCATCCATTAAAAAGTTAATAATAATTCGATCATAAGATACTTACTGTTGATAAAAATGCTAAATGTGATTTTGAGGGAACTTGATTTTTAAAACTTCTGGCCTAGAATGATAAAAGAATGTACTAATTGTTAAAAAGATTGCCAGTACAATACTATCCTTACACACTGATCAGAAATTCTTTATCAGTGAAATTATTACCAATTCCAGGTTTTTGATATTCATATACTATCTTTATCAGCTTTATGAACAATGTTAGAATATAATTAAGACTGTTGACATATTTTGACTCCATTAGAAGGCTGTCATTTTAGAATTATGTTGTTCAATTAAAATGCTGATTAAGCTGTTTCTAAGGTAATTGTTTTGATTGTTTAAGTTATAAAGTACATATTTTCAGTCATAACATATGGGTTAGCAGTGTAACTTTTGAAATACTTACATGTTTAAGATGAAGGTGAGCTGTAGAGGCTATGTCATAAATAATATCTTTAACTGTTTGATCATTAACACCACGTATAATACTCTCTTCACTTACTTTATTCTATAATATAAATTAACAATGTTTAGATAATCTTATATCTGATTGTTCAACATCAACCAATTAAGCATTCATTTTATGACTATCTTGTTGCTGAAAACATGCTTAAGACCAAACATTTCGTCAAAACAATGACAGAAAATACAATGAAATTAAAGAAACTACTCCCCAAAATAATGCCCACACAGTTAAGAATATATCTTCTACATGGAAGACAAAGATCCTGATAGCTATTTAGTTAGTTTGAGCCGTTGAGAAGTGATATGGCTTTATTCAAGATAAAGAGCTCTCAATCAAAAATGTTAGCTTGACTTAAGTCAGAAAAAAAGCACGATTGAATCTGGCCTAGGCTATTAATTACTTACCTTAATTAATAAATCAGTAGGTAAATTAACTTGTCTTTTACCAGCATGATATGGTGTGGCTCTTAATAATGTTATTAAACTTTGTGCTTTTCCAATATGACTAGCAGCATGGTCAGCATGTATATTCTCTATACCTAAATCATACATTTACATGGTACATTATTACACAATTATTCTACATTTCCATTTCTTAAAATCACATCAGGTACAAGTTCAACCTGAAAATAATCTATTTAGTTTCGTGTTTTAGTTTAATCACATCTTTGTCTCTTTGAAAGCTGAAATATGACATTAATATTAGATTATCAAAACCTATCTACAAATAAATTAATTTCTTTTATGTTTAAAGAGGCAGTTGTCCCCATTTTGGGGGGTTGCTTTGAGAGTTGAATATATGTAAATAGTGACCATTCACTTAGATTACTAACTAATTAACTGAAGTTAATGCACAAATTCTGAGGAAGTTTCATTGTAGTCTTGAGCAAATATTTGGTCTCTATGGTTAAATTATTTTTTTAGAGACATTTGGAGACACTATGTTTTATCTCCTTAGTATCACATACAGTAGTCCTAACTGTAAACTATGTAAAGCTGTGGGCACACAAGAGGTCTTGATCGGAGACTTTTGTCGTCGATTAGAGTCTTGTCTTGAGTTTCAACGACTGGCATGGGCATACAAGGAGACAAAAATCTCCAGTCGGTCATTTTCCACCTGAATGGAATCTGATTGGATGATGACAGTCTGTCTTGAGGATGATAAAACTATCAGAGACAATCATCAAACTTGTTTGATATTATATATCCTGCCAGGGCCGCGATAAACTTGATGCGGAAGCACAGGCACATGCAAGATTTTCTCAAGACTCTAATCGCTGACACAAAAATCTCTGACAAAGACCCTTTATATGCCCGCACCTTAAGACAAGTGGTTGCCTAGCAAGATACGCCCACTTCCCTGATATATCAAAGGTGGTCGCCAATCTGTGTCAAATTGTACTAAAAATGTAATTTGTAAAAGATATTGTTGATTTAAACAAAGACACAAAATTACAAGCCAACAAATTTTAATGCATTTTACTAAGTCAAGTGCAATAACTCAAACACCGTTCATCGAAAGATTGTCAACTTCGAACTTGTCCAAGATCTCATTATAAATGATCACACCAGGTTTTATTTCAATCGGATGAAAAATGTAGTCTCTATTGTGTTCACAAAGAAATTTTGGCATGTTTTTCATAAGTCAAGGGAATAACTCAAAAGCCGTTCATCGAAAGATCGTCAAATTCGAAATTGTCCAAGATCTGATCATTATAAATGATCATACCAAGTTTAATTTCAATCGGATGAAAACTGTAGTCTCAATTGTGTTCACAAGCCAATTGTGGACAGATGGACGGCTGGACAGGGCGACGGCCAGAAATGACCACATTATAATGTGGGCCAATAATAAAATAGTTACCTAATACTTGAAGATGTAAGTAATTTAAAGAAGACATAGTTTTTTCTCCATAATCTTCTACATCTTGAATAGTTTGAAATTTTTTACCTTGTAACTGTTCACTCTATCTAACACAAAATGAACCAAAAACAACTGAATTTGAATTTCTAGATAAAAATCAATCTGATTAAAATTAAAGATATATAGTGGGTTTCTCTCAGAGGGTAGCTTTAAACATTATAAAGGACAACAGGTTCCTAGTCAAAAATTTATCAACTTCAATGCTATAAGATTTGAACGACATATAGAAGCTTGAATGCTATGATAAATGATAATCGTTTTCAAATTTAGATATACATAATATCAGTAGACAAATTTAAAGGATATGCATACATGTGTACAGGTCAAGAAAAAAAATCTGGAGATTTGCCTTGAAAAATCTGGAGATTGGTTGAAAAGTCAAGAGATTTTTCCAAAGCGCGTTAATTCGTGATTTGAAACTCCAAATTAATTCTTTTTAAATAAGCCTTAGGCCTATATGCCTTGTAAATTAATTTAATTGATTATAGGCCTACATGACACAGAAAAAAATAACAAATCTATAATTAGGGATAGGCTACCAAGGCAAAATAAATCTAGAAATAGTGCCTGATTTTTCAAATTTAGGGGCCCAAAAAAATATAATATTGTCATACTGAACAGTATTGATTGAATCAAAATTACTGTCAAGTTGAAATGATGTTTAAAAACAACAAAGCAAGCATGATCCCAGCCCTCTAAATTAAATGGTACCGGTAGGCCTACATCATACATGTAAAACCATATTAAAAATCAGGATGTTCTGAAAGCAATATTTAGTAAATAATATGTACTGGCATTGTTATTTTTTCCAAAGGTGTAATTCATGACATCTAAAATATCTGATCATTAAATAATTTTCCTGTAACACCCTCATGAAGTATTGCACCGAATATGCCGCTTCCATTTTGACACTCTTCAGATATGGAAAGACTCGCAATAAGTAAGCCCGTTTTGCAGGCAATAAATGAATGTTTACAGGCTACAGTAAAATTACAAAACGATTTTATGAAATGAAGTTTGAGTTTATATAAGAATTGGGCATCTACTCGCGCATGATAATCTACCAATTATAAAAAAAAAATATGAAACGATATCTATGTTATATAGGCCTATTATAGACCTCACAGATTGATGGTATAAAATACTATGAAAACTTCAAGATTTTGTTTTTTAGTAAACGTAGGGCTTCCGTAAAATTTGTTGTATATTATGATATGTATGACATGTTTCTTAGCCAAAAAAGTTTAAAATCAACTACCAGTATGATTGACATGGCATATATATAATATACATTTTAAATGATTAAATCTTCTTACCCTAGCTTCTATCATATTTATTAATTTGAAATGATGAACTGCCTGAAAAAGGCATATGTAAAAAAAGTCAACAAGGTTTTTTAAGCATTAACAGTGTAATAAAAGAGCTTATTGTCATGTGCATCATGATAAAAGAGAAAACAAAATAAAATTAAAATATAATATTCTTTTGAAACTAATTTGAGCTAATGAAGAATCATGCATTGTGAAATGATTAAAATTTCCACACAAACTGAGTGTCAATTTCTCAGAAACACAACATGTATTTTTTTATTGTTCTGTATCAATGACTGTAAAATACATAATTACCCCACTTAGTTCCAAAGAGACTGGTGTTTCTCGTGGAGTGCCCTATAATAAAGGAAAGATACAATGTAATGAAAAATTGTTGTATGAAAAAGAGAAATATCAGTAAAGTTATTACAGATAAATTTATTATTGAATCATACAATAGAATTAAAAATTGAAATCACAGGAATTACTAATGACACTCTGCATTGTACCACAATACCAGTAAAATAATAAACATCATTTACAAAACCCAGGCATCATATATTTACCTTATAAATATTTTCAAGAGTATCATTCCAAAACTTTAACCTCATTATTCCTATCTGTTTCTCAGAGACCACATCTCTAACCTAACATAAAACAACTTAAAGGATTCAAGATTAGCTATCAATATTGAAATGGAACAAAACTTAGATAACCTGTTCACATATCGATGCATGAAACAAATGTACATACCAAGAACCGGTAAGCAATAATGGAAATTCTTATCTTTTTGCAGATGCCAGTGTGAATATATAACATAATGAAATCTGTATCGTGGGTAACTGCTTGAAACCTCGTATATGCTATAATTGGTCATTTTGACCTGTTCGAAAGCTCATAAAAGCTTGGATCTTGTGATCAAAACCTCTTATTTTCAGCTTGATTGTAAAAAACCCCAAAACCACCAATTACGTAACTTGTATATAAACAGCCAGATTTAAAACATTGTAAAATATTATATTATAAGAGGTCCTATGTTCCTTTTTCTGCGGATGAAAACGAAAAACCTTGTATACTATACTATAATATGAGTTATTGGTTGAATAGGTAGAAGTACTCAAATTGTTATACAAGGTTTAAATTTACAAAGAATGAAAACCATGTATAGCAGTTAAAAAAAAATAATAATAAAAAAGATTTTTACAAGATACGTGTACAAATAGTTTTCAGCATTTTTCTCTTTCATAAAGCGTCATAGGGGGTTTCAAACAGTCACCCACCCTTATTTCTTTAGATATAACATTGATCAATCAGAATATATATTTCAATTGCAAATTTAAAGACCTAGCTGACTTATAAAACAATAGGTAAGAGGTACAAAAAAATCAATTTATACCTGAGCTAATTCCACATTAAAAGCCCTCAAAGCAAATGATGCCCTTCTCTCTAGTCCATACCAGAGTAAACTACATAAATAATGTTCACGATCACTTTTACTGAAAGGAACATGAGAATAACAATACCATTTGATGGAAAATATCTATTCATTTTTCTTGTTTTATCTTAGAAGTACAATAAACTAATACCATTTCAACGTTTATCAATCTTTTTTCAATATGGAAACTGGGCTTATAATGTGTGATATTATATGAATGTCCTATGGATAGTGTATTTCGAGCTGTGGACCAACATCTCTTCAGTTTCGGAGATGCATTTGTAACATTGATCCTGATTGGTTATTAACCATTGGTGGTCCAATCAGAATTCATTTCTCATAATCAAATATCGGCTAGTAGGCCTACAGTAAAAAATACTTATGTAACCAAATTGAATTAAGACTTTTGTAGCTGTTGGTGACTTTATGCTTGGATATTTCAAGTTAAAACTTTCACAAGAAGTAAGGGCATCTTCCTCTATATGCTGGCATGTAGTTTGATGTATTTAACCCCCAAACCACTCCAATGGAAAAAAGCAGAATGCCCCTTTAAAGGCTACAACCTTTCAACAAAGCAGTCAAATCACATTTAAAACCATTTACCTTTAGAGTGATTTTTAAGCTTTTTTAAATGATTAAGTCGAGGAGGAGATTCAAAATGGTTGTGAACTATGTTTGTGTGTACTATTTCTGTGTAAGAACCATAGATAGTAGTTTCTATGGTGAAAGCAATCAACAAAGCATTCTAGAGTTTGACTTTTGAATTCAAAATGATGAAATTAGTCTTACACACCTTACAATTTCCATGCAGTAGGCTTGATTATCAATTTCCTTCTTTGTGTTGTTTGTAGAAATCGATGAAAGTTTAGCATCTTGATACCAATATTTAGAAGGTCTTGTTTTATTGTGGTTTTCTTTGATAAATCTATTTGACAATTTGTGCAAAATGTCTCTAGATTTATAAATTTGGCTCCAAGAAAATTGAGAGTTCATGCTTCAGGTCTTATTAAATAACTACTGTCAGAACAAATTACAACCATCTGTCATCAACATTCTATATTTATCATTCTACTTTCTATTCTTCCAAATAAATCACTATCTTTTCAATTTTTTCCTTGTGAAATCAGAGTTGTCTTCCATTAGCCTTGAAGAGTAGTCGAGATCATTGAGCTAATCCGAATCGGTTAGGAAGCTAATCTTGATCCCATCGTGAGATACTAAATCAAATTGACAAATTGTCTTAGGGAGTGTAGGTGCAGGTTTAGGATGAAGAAATCGATAACTGCAAGATATTTTTAGAAAATGTTTTTATGCAAGAGAACTAGTCTAGAAAAAAAGACAACTCTGACCACTTTTTGTAAGACTCAGACCAGCCTTACTTTATTAAACTCGGACCTCTTTTTTTAACTTGTTATTCCAAACCACCGTAATAGACAAGAAAGGGATACAGTGCAAGTTTCAAGAGTTTATTTAGGTCTTGAATACAAACAGCCTTCAAAAATGTTAGAAATGTATGAAAATCGTATAACTCCTACTACAAAAATGCCTCAAATTAGGAATTTAACGTTCTCTTTCTATATACAAGTAACCTAATTTCGTGGAAACCTATTATTCGTGGATTTCCGGAAACGATTAATAATTTACATGAGCGACCTTGCGTGACCTCCGCATTAGTTTGTTTTGATAAACATGGGTTTTCTCTACAATATCAGCTAGTAGAATGAATTCAGTACTTTCAAGCAAGGTAAAATGTATTAATGTATACTTTGACAAATACAAAATGGCGGATTTCAGTTATCACCAAACGTCTCAATTTTTGATCAGCCGAATTTCCTTATAATCCTACGCTGTAATCGGAATTCCAAGTGTCGTCTGCTAGAATGTAGTCCAACGAATGAAGTAGCGTGATCAATTAGCGGATTCCGTGTCAGCAGAAAATTTCTATGGAACACAAAGTGGACCATATTCTTATATTGTTTCAGTGATTTTTAGCAATAAATCACGCTACGTATCTTATTTTGTCAGTCGCTATTTTTTTTTAAATCGTGGTTCTTTGAAGGAATTGTCACTTGTTATAATGAATTGATATTGAAGATAAATACTAAGAGAAGTTAATTATACCACCCGGTATCCATACAACGTGTTTTTCTCAACTTATTTATGTATCAAACATTGTACACGAAAATAGGTGACGCATTCTGCCGCCGTTGCCGAGTTGGTTGCTGAGTTGGTTGCTCATGAAATATGGGTCAAAGTGAAGGATTCATAAAGAAAATCGAAATAAACCAATTTTAATTATGTTGTAGAATATCTGAGGAAACATCTAAGACATAAAAAACTTTTTTCGTTTTTTTAACTTTGACGAAATTCGGTGTTGAATCCTTATATCCACGAAAATGTACGTCTTTTCTATATAATACACGGCACAGTTTCAAGAAAAGATGCGTTGTCTTTTTAACTTTCGAACACTGATAATTCTGGACACACATGGATTTAGTCTCAAATCGCAAAGGTGAGCCATGAACACTTAATACTAATCCTGTTTCTGAGACTAAGGTACGATTGGTCTTTCTATAATGGCCAGAGAGTAAGCAAATGAGACATGATTCCTACTCTATCATGATGAACATTTCTCAAAAGTAATACTTAATAGAATACATTACAATTTATTTACTTTATGACAGTACATGTATGTCGATCATATAAATGTATTTGGTTATTTAGGTTTAGGAACTTTAAGAACTCCAATTTGTCGTAAATAGCGAACTATAAATGGAGATGATGTCAATGTTATGGCTATTCTGACAGGTGCAAATATTTTATGAACAGCATAAGCCACGACAAATGTTCCAGCATCAGATACCATCTTTGACTGTAGAATTGATTCACCAACTCCTAATCGAGTTAAAATACCAACCATATCGATTCCACTGAAAAATAAATCATAATATTACATGGTAGACATCAAAACATCAGGAATCATCACAATAAAAAAAACTTGCCAGTCCTTTCCATGGCATACCACTTCAAAAGTTCACTGAAAGTGCACTATACATTTTTCTCCCAAAAATTATACCCTAAAGCATAAAGTCAACAGGTTTGCGACAGCAATATGTGATAGATACATGCTTAAATCATGGACAGGCATGAATATGAAAAAAATAAAATATATTTGATAATAAGTTTTCACTTGAAAAATCAATGTCAAATTGAGTTTCCTTAAAAGAATTATGCATTGACGAACTCTTATATTTCTTGTTATTTCTCTTTCAAAGCTACAAGCAACTTACCTTGAAACAGCCAAATAAAAACCACCCAAGGACATCAAAGATATGCCAATATGAAACACTATAACTGTTGAACCATAGTCCTTCACTGCCAGTTTTAAGCGTTGTTTTTGACTGAGTTTTTCTATCTTTTTATCTATCTGTTTTTTGGTTTGGTCTGCATGTATTTCTGTTGAATAATGTCTCTTCTGTTGTTTATATTGTTTGACAACTGACTGTATAACACGTTCCTGTGCTCTAAATATATCAGATAGACTCTTTCTACCAGCCATAGAGTCATTCAACTGATCTTTACAGTTTTCAAAACCAAATCTGTGGCAATTCTCAAGCCAAAGTTTGAATTGGGCACAATCATCACCCTGAACACCTTGTGGACAGGGAGAATCAAGACTTGGAAGAACTGTAGTATCTTGAATTCCTTGTGTACTATCTGAGAGAGTAAGAGTATGTTTGGATTTCTTGTAACTTTCTGCTATTTGTATAATCAATTCATTCTGCTCCTCTAGAACATCACTCAATGTTTTTCTGCCAGTTTGAATATTTTCTAGCTGATTGTCACAGTTTTCTAAACCATATCGATGACAGGTTTTCCACCATATTTGTAAGTTGGCATCATTGTCACCTTGTATACCTTGTGGGCATACCTTGTCATCTACCTCTAGTTGCACAGCTTTATTTTTGAAAGATGACATACATCTTATGACTTGTTTTATGTTGCCCAAATGACTGTTAAGGCCTAAAAAATAAGAAAATGAAATTAAGCCAAAATCTTCAACCAGTATACAGTAACTTTGAAATTGCATGTACCAATTTTACCAAAACACTCTACTAAATAATAGCAGGCTTACCAGGATAAGAATGGCAATATATAGCTTGTAGTTATTATCCTTATTAAGATGTGAATGTTATATTGTATGATGATATTCATAATAACCGAGATGACTAAACCATAATTATGATTACATACTATAATTAATATAAAGCATCCTGAATTGAGAGTTCAATAGCTATAGCCACTACATGCTACCTACAGACTACAGTCTACAGGTCAACTAATTAAAAGCCTTCATTTTCTGAACACAAATCTTGTTGGGCTTGAATATATATATAGAACAAATGGCATTTAAAAAACAAAGTGGTAAGTATGCTGTAAACCTGGTTTTAATCCTTTCAAAAGTAAAACATGCCAAATACGTACGTTGATACAGCATGAATTAGGCTTGCGCTTGTGGAAGCAGTAATATTAATAATAAAGACAAAGTGGCCAAACCAAAACTTGTATTTGTACAACAAAAACGAACGCATGAAAAAAAACAATTACCCGTCGTAAAAGACACTCTAGAAAATTTGTGGACAAACATTCTTGTGCTTGGGATACAAACACGAGCTGACACAGTGCACAGCTATGCAATCTACATGGTTTAGTTTGATATGTGTCCTATATTTTTTTTGCTTTTCACGTTATGAAATAATGCAACTCGATTAACAGGCCTTAAATGGAGAGATAAAAAGGGAGATAACTTCAAATTAACAAGGCTACATATACAGTCAAGTAACCTAATTTCGTGCTAACATATTTTTCGTGCATTTCCGGAAATAATTAATAATTTACATGTGCGACCTCGCGTAACCTCCGCATTTGCTTGTTTTGATAAACATGTGTTATCTCTACAATATCAGCTAGTAGAATGAATCCAGTAGTTTCAAGCAAGGTAAAATGTATTAATGTATACTTTGACAAATACAAAATGCATGGCGGATTTAAGTTATTACCAAACGTCACCATTTTTTATTTCCTTATAATCCCAGGCGGTAATCGGAATTCCATGTGTCGTCTGCTAGAATGTAGTCCAACGAATGATGTCAGCAGAAAATTTCTATGGAACACAAAGTGGGTCATATTCTTATGTTGTTTCAGTGACTTTTAGCAATAAATCACGCTACGTATCTTATTTTGTCAGTCACTATTTCTTTTTTAAATGGTGGTTCTTTGAAGGAATTGTCATTATTTATAATATGAATAATTGATATTAAAGATAAATACTAAGAGAAGTTAATTTTACCACCCGGTATCCATGCAACGTGTTTTTCTCGACTTATTTATAGATCAAACATTGTACACGAAAATAGGTGACGCATTCTGCCGCCGTTGCCGAGTTCCGATCTCATGAAATATGGGTCAAAGTGAAGGGTTCATAAAGAAAATCGAAACAAAACAATTTTAATTATTTTGTAGAGTATCTGAGGAACCATCTAAGACATTTTAAAAAATTTCCGTTTTTTTAACTTAGACGAAATTCGGTGTTGAATCCTTATATGCACGAAAATAGGTTACGCCACTGTACCTTTTCCTTTTTTCTATCTCGTAGTCCTAGAAAAAAACCTGTAGAGTCAGTAACTAGTGAATATAAATTGGAACATTTTTGTAAAAAGGATAGTTGCACATTGCAAAACGTGCAAAAAGCACAGAGTTAATATAATATTTATTATTACCTCTATGGCAAAAAGTAGATAATTTTCAAGGCGCAAACTTGGAGCGATTTGCTCGGGTTTTCAGTTTTAAAATTTCGCAAGAATGATCGTATGTCATCAGTTTTTTAAATCATAGCACATACTTTTTAGACGAATTTTGCAAATTGTGACAAAATTTTCTCGGCTATGCGTCCGATTGATTTGAAATTTCAGGTGCTAAAACCGATCACAACAGAAAACAAATTTTACATCACTTCCGGTTTGCGAGAAATCAACTTTCGATTTGACACAGATTGGTGACTGCCCTTGACATACTGAAATTGTATGAGGTAAGTGGGCGTATCTTGCAACCACTCGCTATGTATGAAGGTGACTAAAGCTGAAACTTGATACTTATAAGTAGATAACGTTATGACTTAAAAGATAGCTTGCCAGGCAAGGTAATATACGCCCACTGGCAGCTTTGATTTTGAACATAAATATTTAGCAGTACAGTAACAATCACCAGTATGAAATATTCAACCTTCAGTCATACACTTCTTTTGAACTCTTTAGCACAACACTGAATAATATTGTGTACGAGTTATTGTCCAAGTTCTTGAAAACGTGTTCAATCTTTAGCTCATGAAAACTCTAGAAGGCAAATATTCAATCTTCAGGACTGAATAATAACACCAAGTTTTGTCAAAATCCAGAAAGAATCATGCCTTTTAGTGTTTAAGAGCTAAATTTGAAAGCGGTTTCAAGAACAAGGGCAATAACTCACACTAAATTTTTTTTCCATTCTTCTGATTTTCAATAGGGTTCATCCTTGGGTGATTACGAACATTCACAAAGTTTCATCAAAGTGATTACGTGCTAAAAATTGAACGCGTTTTCAAGAACAAGGGCAATAACTAATACTAAATATTTTTCAATTTTTCTAATTTTCGATAGGGTTTATCCTTGGGTGATTACAAACACTCACAACAAGTTTCGTCAAAGTCCGTCAAGAATTATGCCTTCTAGAGTGTTTACAAGCTATAAAATTGAACGCGTTTTCAAGAACAAGGGCAATAACTCATACTAAATATTTTTCTGATTGTCGATAGGGTTTATCCTTTGGTGATTACAAACACTCACACAAAGTTTCGTCAAAATCCATCAAGAATTATGCCTTCTAGAGTGTTTACAAGCTAAAATTGAACGCGTTTTCAAGAACAAGGGCAATAACTCATACTAAATATTTTTCTGATTTTCGATAGGGTTTATCCTAGGGCGATAACGAACACTCATACCAAGTTTCATCAATATCCGCCATGAATTGCACCCCCTAGAGTGTTTACGAGCGTTTCAATAACAAGGGCAATAACTCATAGTTAATACAAACAACCATACCAAGTTTCGTCGAAATCAGTCAAGAATTGTGCCTTGTAGAGTGTTTACGAGAAATTGTGGACGGACGGACCGACGGACCGAAGAAAACTCTATGAAGCCGATTTTTGAATTTTGTTTATGCTTTTTTGCAATTTTCGGTTCAATTTTTTCGAAATTTGAAGCTTCATATCACGTGACCTTGACCGTTGATGAGCTTCATAATAGCTGACCTTGACCTTCTTATGACCTTTTGACCTTTGGTGTCAAAACACATATTCCGGTTTTATATGGGTCTAAATATGGTCAAATTTGCACTTTTGCAGTGCTATATATCTCAGAATCACAATGCTAAGCTGAGCTTTCCATTGATATAACATGTATGCTTTACACGCATATTCAAAGTCACAAGTCATTCACTTAACATGGTGCAATTATTGTAGTCTAAATACGCCGTATTTGTGTATCGCAGTATCATTAAGAGGAAGCCTTTTTAAGACTTCTAATGCGGGTCAAATATTCATTTATATATATAATGCAAAGAAAAACACCTGCCAGACGTCTTATATTGTTATATATTATCATATCATGATGAAAAATACACTTTGATATCATAATAAACAAAATCTATTAGATATTTCACAATCTACAGACATATCAGAAATATCAGATTTATTCTCATAGGAACGTTCACTGTCGCACGATGATTCAGAAGAGATCTCGGAAACATCAATAGTGGTGCATCGTTCATATTTATTTTTTTCATCCTTTTTACGGCGACGTTTCATGCTATAGGTTTCGATAAAGACTTCTTCACCAACAGCTGTGCATACAGTATCTAACAGATTTTGATACAATTTACACAACTCAAAGTTACCACCAAGCATCTTAAAAGCATATAGTAAATAATTTTGTTTTGATTGCATAGCCTTACTGATAAGATACAACATCGAGCCATCATAAGATTTGGGAATCACTGGATCAAGAAACGGGCACAGTAGCAGTTGATTTAAATTGATTGTATAAAGTAACAGTGATTGTAACTGGGAGTAACAATGTGAAAGACGTGGAGGCCATTCATATTTCCATGTTATACTTGGTAGATTATTGATGTCCTTAGACAACCTGCACCTAATTCCAGATAGTATTGAAAATGGAATTGTTTGAAATGTTAATTCCAAATCGACCCTTTCACATTGTATCGCAGTATCGTTAAGAGAGAGCCTTTTTAAGACTTCTAATGCTTTCACTTCTTCATCATCATAATCGTCGTGAACACGACGGAAGGATCTACCACTATCTTCACACAGATCTTTTTCTGTTTCAAGTTTGTCATCAGCTTCTTTACTTCTACCCATACAAAAGTGAGTTATATGTAACATAATCACATTTAAAATGAAGGCAGCTAAATGATATTTAGGTATACCAGCATATTTTGCCCAATACGCAATAACGGAAGCCAAAAGTTGCAATGAAGGTGAAAACTTCGATATAAAATCAAATGGTGCTTCAAAAACATTCATGATCAATTCACGTCGTTTCTCTATAGTAACCACGGGCAAGCCGATTACACTTAAAACGTGTCCAAAATTTGGTAGGTGAGTAATTGGTAAGGTGTATGTTCTGCCAAACTCCCGAGTCTTGCGGTCGTATTCTTCCACTTGACAGTCACGGTTCTCTTTGATATTTTCTTTATCCAGTTTGGAGTTAAATAATATACCATAAATCACACGTCTTATAGGTTTGGATATTTCATGTGAAGACGCTTTTCTCAAATCTTCTACTTGACACTGAAGAATCACACGACGCAAGACAAGAGCATTCTGAATAAATGGCGATAATTCGGCTTTCAATAAGCTTCTCATCATCCACTCCGGCAAACCATTTCCAAAATAATCATTTAACATCACTGAGTTAATATCAAACTCGGATTCTAAATATTTCTCCAAGAATGTTTGGTCTGAATCTATTTTGGTGTAAGAATGAATGGAATCGTGTATGATTTTCTCTAGAAATGATTGTCTTTCAGGAGGAAAATGGTCTAAGATTTGCTGAATAGCATCTTCAGTTGACGCACAACTCTTAAGCCAGGAGATTAAAGAATGTGCTTTTGACCGCTTATTTGATATCTTAGACTTTTTGGTATCTGGTTTTTTAAACTTTTTCATAAAATATGAAAATACCTTGCCATTTACAAAATCATTTCCTAAGACAGTTGCTAACAAGGGAATTAAAGACGGATTGAATTTGCCAAAAACGTCAAAGTAATGCTGATGGTGGTATTTTTGTACCAATATATATAACTGATTTCGTTTGTTACCGGTTGTGGCGTCTTTTGTAAATTTTTGCTTAATGCGAAAATCGACATAATCCATGGGGAAGAAGCCGGCTTTAATATTATATACATAGAAATCACTATCATTACTGATGACAGGGCAATTCCACTTATTAGCTAATATAGCGATATGTTCATCAGCTTCATAATCGCAAGTTACGTGTATGACTCCTAAATCGTCTAATACAGTTCTAAATGTTTCGTAGGACAATATTGGCAGAAGATTTTTAGATCCTCTGAACGAATTTTTACCAGATATTCGAAGACGATCTCGAGCTCTTTCCAAAACAGTTTGATGCTTTTTGTCATCTGTATTATACCCACCATCGAAAACAACACAAGGAACTATACCACATTTTCTCAAATTTACAAAAACCTGTTTGACTTTCTTCGCGTAATTAAAATAATCGCCGTTAAATTGCTGTCTAATGTTATATCTGTGGTAAAGAAAATGATATAAATTATTGCCATCAAATATGACTTTACACGAATATAACTGATAATCTTTTAATAAAGATGGATTATTATCAACAAATGTAGTTAATCCTTTCACTCCCATTATTACACAGAGCTTGTCTTGTTGATATCCATCAAACTAACTGTGCCTGCAATATAGAAATGTGTAGTACGGTAATAGACTCAAAATGAGCCATCGCTGCTTTTAAAGAGACTTTCAGAGCAACATCATAGCATTACCTTAAAGTAAAATTTAAGAGACCACGCATTTGCAAGAAGTTCCAAAACCACATTGGAAGACCGTAGCTGCAGGCGGAGTTTAATCTTAATAATGCACCATAAATAACTCTCATATCATCCAGTATTTTGAATGTTAGTTCAGAAACGGTGAAATTACCAGATTTAAATCAATGTAATGGTAAAGGTATTTGACAAAAAGTAGCCACATCTCTGGGCAATCTTGATTAATTTCGAACTATACGTTTGATGTTCGATGAGTGATATGCAATAATGAACTAACTTTTAAATATAAACAAGTCTACAAGTAACAATTTGGAGATTTGAATAACAAACAGAAGATATTCATAAGTCACATTCAATCCGTTTACTTCTGGACCGTAAGAAATATCAAATTCGCAGTAATGACGGAATTCGTCGTTATACTAACCGTGTATAGATTCTCAGTTGCTATTAATATGATGTTATCTACCCTGTTCATATTAAATATCTTCAAATTTGAGCGATAATGAGCCTTGATCTAATTCACGCATGGAAATCATGACCTGGCAATGATTACCGGATGTTTTCATATGTAGTTAAAAACGGTACGGATTAGATTAGACATTGAGACTCACTTTGTACCAATAAGGTTATCGATGACGAAAATGTCATTTTTATGTATATAGGCCTAATAGTACACAAGAATTTCGTTCGACACATTTTAATTCTATCGTAAAAAAAAAACAATCCAAAATTGAGGATGAGCTTGCACGATTCAAATGAAGTAATAGCCCATATCTCTTAATTATATTCATATCCACACTAGGCCTACTGGCTGTCACCAGCTTTATTCAACAACATAAACCCATCATTGTAAGATTTTGATAAATTACAAATTATTGATCAATAGTCTGCATTGAATAAAATCATGACACTCCAAACCTTTAAAAACGGTTTTGAAATGACGCTTGTTTTAGAGTTGTCAGTATCGTAGATTTGATATTACACACATCAAAATACGAACATTTCAGAAAAGGAGGTGGTGGGTGGCGTGTTTTCACGAACTGTCCATTTTCCATTGTCATTTCAACCAAATAATTACATAGCTTCATCTGAGAGCCAGATATCCACAAAGTATTATTTCTAAACGTATAAGAAGTATTGACATTAAATTCGTCTAATTCGAACTGATTCGTCTGATTTTCGGCTGACAGAGGGTCCACATCGTCCCACAATGACGGAATATTTGCCTTAAGCTCAGATACATGTGGAAAATCATCACTTATTTGAGAATCCGACTCTAAGGATTGAACTTTGTTCCAAAATCGATCAGTATTATCACATCTGTACTTCAGTGTGGTATTATTTACAATATAAATATCATCCTCGCTATTTTCTGTTACAATAAACGCTGGCACTGTTATATTAATGGGTGGGTTGTAATACTCACTTTCTTCAGTACTAGAGTCGAAATGGTAACATTCTTCTATAGAAATTCCCGGCATATTTTTGGACATCAATGGAACATAAGGACCACTTTCACAAAAAAATGCTTTAGAATCTGTTTTACCGAGTAAATGCAATTCTAATTCGTCATGACAATGTCTAATGTCTTCATATACTAACGTGAACGAAATATCTCCAGTCATTTTGAAATATTTCAATCTCTTAATCCACATATGACTGGTGTTTGAGAGTGTACTAGTTATTACTAGTATATACAGAGTTCCATTTAGCTCCACAAGTTCCATACACTTGATGGGATCTTTTGCACTTTCCAATATAAGTTCAATACTAAATGTAGACCAGGTGAGCTTTTTCAAGCACATTTTCAATCCGAAATTAATCTCTTTGTTTATAAAGTAGATATTGCTTCCAACATCAACAGATTTCCAGTATTTTAAATGTTTTAAACCACACGGTAATGTTGCTTGGCCTAAATCTAACCATATTCTACGTGATACATCATAAATTGCCAAATCAATCTTTTTGCAATCCGGATAACCGCATGAAATATCATTTTGTGAAACAGATTCTGGTAATACAAAAGTTGGTGCATTATCATCTCGTTCTTTATCTTGTTCAGCAATGACCAAAAGACATGGTCTCTCTGGACTATCTGGTATGTTTACATTTTTGTCTACAGACGACATAAGAACAGAATTCTTTATCTCGACAGGTACATTATTCTTGTCCAAAAAGTGACTCAAACTCTCACAAGTGCAAAACTGGAATACCCCCTGTGAATGTAGCTCTTTGATAGTACTATCTGATATACCAATATTATCATCTAAGGCAAAAGCAAATACATCGTGAAATCGAGATTTTAAAATAGCAGTTACTAACTGAGACAATTCTATTATTTGTATCCGTCTTGTTAAATGAAAATAATCGAACACCATATCAAGATGCAACGTTTTCAAGGCAAAGTACTTACAACAGTCAAAAATATTATCCAACGTTAAGTAAGAAGCAAGGATAAATATATCTATGATAGTTTCATTAGTGAGTATTATCCTCCCGGAATACAATGAATCGATACAATGTTCAACAATTGAAATACTTGTAGCAATACCAGTTAAATCGATCTCGGTTGTAGGCGACGAAGACTCACAAAAACCTCCAGAGAACATGGATCGAAAATATTGACTATTAGCAGCTAAGATTACTCTTGATGCAAATACTTTCTCGTTGCCAACTTTCAAAGTAAGGTCGCAAAATTCGCCTCGTTTACGGAAAGTGTTCAATGTCGTAATCAGATCATCAGAATAGCCATCATCCTTTAATTTGATTTCCATCTGAAAAATAAATAACTTTTAGGAAGAAAGAATGACCAGTAGTTTTTTAAGCAACTTTTGGTAACGCTCCTTAAAATGAATGTCACTCATTATAAGGTCCACGCATTTAAATTCAATCTGAAAGAAATCAGATCTGTTCGGTTTAGATTCTATGAAATGTTCATGAATCTGAAATTAAATGTAAAAACTTGATTTTATACAAGGTTTAAAGTTGTTTAGTTAAAGGTCGCGCTGACTGCCTTAAAGGATGGCAAACTAGATACACTGTCGACATCCGAGCTTTCCAGACAAGGTCAAAAAAATACACCATTCTGAGTACATACACTTAGCCTATTAGAGTTATTTTAACCTGGAATAGAGCAACCTTTTATTCGTTCTGTCTTACCTGCATATTGGAGTATGGTAAACCTACTGAAAGTAGTTTATTATTCAAGCAAACACAGTATACATATAGCTATACACAGTCTACAATCTATTTATAATCCACAGTACACTAAAGGCCTACATACGTCAAACAACTGTTTAAAACATTGCCATGTCATTGTGTAGGCCTATTCTTAAAGGGATTGTTAAGAGGTTTTCGAAATTTTTTATGCGTATCAGGGACACTGATAGCATCAATTTGCACCATTCAAATTTTCAATACGCCAGTGGTTCCTGTAATTCCTCAAAATATAAATATTTGATGACGTCACTATTGCAAAATATGCTCCTTTCACAATACTTAAGTGACTTCATCAAATACTTAGTTTTAGTGCAATTGCAGAACCGCGGCGTTTGCTTGAAAATTGGAATGGTGCAATTTGGTGCTATCAATGTCCCGGATACACGTACATTTAGAAAACCTCTTTACAAACGAATAAATGTCACACTGAAAGTGACACTCGCACGGTTTTCGTCCCTGCAATTCCGCTGTGCTACGGAAAAATTAAATGAATGGAATCATACTCTGTTGTATCTAATTGGGCTAATGAAGACGTGCGTTTTTCCATTTATGACTTTACGTTCAGGGATCACAGCCTGTAGCATAAGGAATCCAATGGTTTAAGTTTCAAGTGGTTACAACTACGACCATATTGAATTTCAAAGATAGTTTGCCAGGCAAGGTAACTTACGCCCACTGGCAGCTGTCAGAAATGATAAAACAGTCATTAGTGATTAAAGTATTTTCTCATATTAAAGAAATTTTAATAGTTCAATGATATATATATTTACTGACAGTTATTTATGCTGAGATATTCCACCAATTTTTTAAAGATCAATATCAATAACCCAAATACATCAAATCATCTCATCAATATACATGATCAAACCATGTTTCATTAAAATCAATTGAAAACTGTAGTCTCTAATGTGTTCACAAACAAATTTTGACGCAGTTTCCTAAGTCATGCCTTTCATCGAAATATCATCAAATTTGAATTTGTCCAAGATCTCAATATAAATGATCACACCTAATTTCATTAAAATCAGTTGAAAACTGTGGTCTCTATTGTATTCACAAAAAAGATTTGACGCGTTTTTCCTATGTCAAGGGCAATAACTCAAAAACCGTTCATCGAAAATCATCAAATTTAAACTTGACCAAGATCTCATCAGTATAAATGATCACACCAAATTTCATTAAAATCAGTTTAAACCTGTAGTCTCTATTGTGTTCAAAAAAAATTTTGACGCGTTTTTCCTCAAGGGCATTAACTCAAAAACCGTTCATCGAAAGATCGTCAAATTCAATCTTGATCAAGATCTCATCAATAATGATCACACCAATTTCATTAAAATCAGTCGAAAACTGTAGTCTCTATTGTGTTCACAAGAAATGTTGACGGACCGACGGACAGGGGCGACGGCAATATACGTCCACATTTCCATGTGGGCGTATAAAAAGGGGACCATCAAAAATCTGTAAATGTCGATATTTCTGGATCTATGTCAGCTATAAACTCGTTCTTGGTGTCTAATTGTATTTTGGGCGTCGAGGAATACAATGATTTGGGTTTCAAGTAACTAAAACTGCCACCATGTTGATATTCAAAAATGGTGATATAATAATCTATAATTGTCGATGAAGTCATTTCTGGAACTATGTCGGCTATAAGCCGGTCCTTAATTGTAAACCCATTCATAATTTTACATTTTGGTGGTCAAGGAATGCAATGATTTAAGTTTCAAGTAGCTTCACTGCCGCCATGTTGAATTTCAAAATGGCGACTATCAAAGATATATATGTCAATAATTCTGGGTCTAGGTCAGCTATAATCCTGTTCTTGTACATCTTGAAGAAAGGAATCTTCCAATGAGTGGTTACAACTGTCGCCATATTGAATTTCAAGATGGCAATAAAGTAAAATATAGGTGATTAACCTGATATTTTGTTAGTCTTGACATCAAAACCGCCCAGGAGAGTGATACCACAAATACATGTCTTTCAAATCACTTCTGCGTCAGGTAGTGTTTTGATGGGGATGGAGAACCATTTTCAAGATTATAGTACTGTCCTGCTGGTGCAATGCTTATTGAATGTAACAGCAGCCGAGACTGTAAACAATGTCCTCAAAATGAGCAAATAAAACTTCCACTCCTTTGCAATGGAACATTTGGTAGACAGGTCAGTGATACTGACAAGTTGCAAATACTGTATCACATTCTGTTTGAATTATCAGGTTCTAGATATGCAGCAATGCCCCTCACATGCTATGTAGCGCCAAATGCTTCCTATCACGAACGCAAACCAAAGTTCATGCGTTTGTTGCTGTCGCTTTTATGCTAATGCAATGATCAGAATGGCAACATCCACTGTACAGATAAGTATGTCTACACCCCATGGCATCATTCTGCTGCATGTACCATCATTCGGATGTCGGTCTCCTGCTAAGGTGGGAATGTCTTCAAGGGTGGGGCTGGGATTCCTTCTTTCGTATTGATCCCACAATAGTTCAGAACGAGATCAATATCCTGATGCTACCTGGCTTCAGCATCTGAAGTAATAAAGTATGACAGGTGCATCTGCGTTCTTGATAGCTAGCTCTTCTATGGCTTGAGTAGGTCTGACTTGCAGCAGTTGGAGATACTTGAAACGCGAATCATTTTATTCCTGGACTCCCAAAATGTACAATTAGACACAAAGAACGGGTTTATGGCTGACATAGATTCAGAAATACCAAAAATTAAAGGGTTTTTTATGGTCGTCATTTTGAAATTTAACATGGCGTCTCAATATCCAAAACTGTTCACAACAGTAAAGTAACAGTATAAATTTGTTGCTCGTATCACAAAATACACAATGGGTTTAGTATGAGGGCCCCCTGGACTTAATGCCGTCAATTTTAAGCCTGTTAATGGATTAAATATTTTCACTCATTTATATATTGCTGGTTGTTTAGATTGATCATAATAGTATATGCGTACTTTTATACATTTCTTTTAATTCTATATTTTTTAATATTGGATTGGGGCCCCGTTGACATGGTTCAACCAGTCCCTGTAGTGGTTGAGCCCAATGAGTTATCATATTTAACTCATTGGTTGAGCGACTGACGTGATATCGTCACGGTTGGTGCCATACGAAACTATGTATGGTTCGAACATTGAAATAACACACACGAACCTAGTTCACATCCATTTTGCTATTAGAAATATAACATTTTCAAAATTCGACTGAATAGAAACTCAAAATAGTTGTAAATTACGATTATGTTATTTCCATGTAAAAACCATACGAATTGCGCACTGGCAAGACTCAAAAGTTCACACGGCTTCGATCACTAGTTTTAGAATTTACACCATGACTAATCTTACACCATTACAATTCAATTTGAGCAGAATCGCATATATAAGATGAAATTATTGATAGATACCAGTAGCTCAAACTGTCCTCAGACTCATAGCTCATGTTTGGGGAACAAATAAAAAAAAACAATGGCATTAACAATTTTTATTTGTCATTGAATTTCATGACTGCTGATATCACTTTCTTAAAACTTGCAACCACCATTATTATATACATGTTGCAAGTCTTAAATGATAATTTTGAAGATATAGCACTGTCTCCAATATAAGATTCACATTTTATGTGATGATTATTCACAGGAATAAATTACACATCCTGCTTGACATATCTGTTATAGAAATGTTCCCTAGATATTAACAGACATCAATATTCAAATTCAGGGAAAATATAAATAAATCTCATTGTCTGGCCAGACTTGATAGTTTTACTAGAAATTGTCACACTTACTAAAATGTCTTATTCAGGTGACAATATCAGTTGATAACGAACATTCATCAACCACCAAAAAATTAATCAACTAGCAAGTAAACAATCGTATTGTTTCTTAACTGCTTTTAAGCATTTTAACTCAGCAATCACTGTTTTACTCAAGAGAATTTCATGTTCAGTCACAAGTTTACATTACACACAGCTGCCAAGTAAAATTCTCCGAGTCAAGAAAGATTGCATTAATGTTGCTTCCTTGTATAATTTAACACAATTTGCGTAGTCACCAGGACCTTTGTTGTATCAGGCTACGATTGAACTCCAACCCTCTGAAAAATACATTTTTTTCATTTATCATAAGCTATTGAAAGATATTGGTCATTGGTTTCAACAAAACTTTGCTTTTCTATCGTAGACAATCAGTTTATAATGTGAGATATAGTGTAGCTATCAGCATCAATTCTTTCATGGCAACTCATTAAAGGGGCACCATACAAGTTCAACAAACCCATCAATATCATTTTCTCAATATTATTGAAGAACAATATTGTCAATTCATCTTTTGGTCAAAATATTGAAAGTTTTATCAATTTAATCATAGAGCACAATATTGATTGAGTGTGGATAATCCATCAATACTTTCAGAAGTTCAATGAACAATCAAAGAAATGGTGGCATTATTCATGGAAATATTGTATTGTGTTTGGGCATTTTCTGTCAATAGATTGAGTCACTATATTGAGAATAATTTTGATGGTTTTATCTAAGGTGTACGGGTAATTTG